CAGCCCAGTGGTATGAACAACTGAACTGGCTAGCTCTAGTGCAACTTTTAATTCGAGTTGTTAATTTTATGGATATAGAATTCGATTTTTTTTTTATTTGAATAGAAGCATATATGAATATCAAATTTAATAAATGAGGATAGGTATAAATATGAATTTAAAATATTTGGATATGAGAATGAATAATATAACATTTGTCTCATATTTATATATATTTAAATATATTTGTTGAGTTGATTTATGGATTTGAGTGGTATTGAATTGTGTTATTTTTCGATGATGGGTTTTTGTGTGATGGACTGATTCGTGTGATTTGGGGGTTTTTTTTTTTAATTTTAGATATAGTTTTATTTGATCATAATTACGAATGATAAAATAATTTGTATTTGATAAATTATGACCCACTTTAATTCGATAAGATTAGTATTTTTTTTTTTTTTTATAAATCAGACGTCGGATTAGTTTTTTCTAAGGTTGGATTCAGGTCAAAGTTGGATTTTATGTGGCATCGTCCCAATCCAATTTATATATATATATATATATATATAATATTTTTATTTATTTAATAATTTAATTTAAGATATTATTTTAATAAAAATATTATATTTATGTATAATTAAAATATAATTTATATTAAAAATAATTTTTTAATATTATTATATTAAATTAATTTCAAATCGAACAATTACAATTTATAAATATATGAATCAAATGATTAAGTATGAAAAAAATAATATTTTACTATCAAATTCAAGTATAGATATTAAAGGATCGGGTCGAGTGAAAACCACCCCGACCCACCCATTATCATCTTTAATTATAATTTGATTTATGCTAAATTATGGAATAATATTACTCTCTAATCCTTTCTATCAATCTATTTTATAGAATTATATTTGGTTTTTATCATTTGGATAGTACAAAATCCCCTTTCTAATACATTTTGAATTTTTATTTTTTTAAAAGAACATGAGTATAGAGATTCTCTATTTGTAAATTTTCGCAAAGATGAAAATGTTATAAATTTAAAATAACTTATGAGTATGAAAATAAATATAATAAAAAAATAAGACAAAAATAAAAAAAATATTTTATTAATTTCATATCACTCATGTTGACATTTTACTTTTAACTCATTGATTCAAATTATTTTGCAAGCGTGCAGACTATACAAATAATAATAGAGATTAAAAATCTATATGTTGATCTTACGATGATTAGATAAAGAGATTCTTAACCTAAATATCTTTTATCACCATACTCTATCTAAAGTTGGTTCAATCAAGTAAATGTAAATATGAAATTAAACTAACTAAAAAGAAAAAGTTAAACAAAGCATTAAACACAAGTATATAATATATAAGCTTACAAAATGCAAACTAAGTAAAGTAAAATAATGTGTAAAAATAGTAAGTAAAATACAATGAACTAAGTAATAATTAAGATGGAAATCCAATCTAAAAATTGAAAATGACAAGTGGAAAACTTAACAAAGATAATAGCTAAGTAAACCTAATTGAATTAACTAACTTTAATTAATGGCAACTAACTTTAATTAACTTCTAACTTCCACTTGGAGAACTACTCGTAAATTTTTAAAACTTGATCCTAACAAACTAAAATTCACAAAAACAGAAGGTAAATTGAAGATCCAAATAGCTTTACAATGGAATTAATGAAGCAAAATAAAAAATCTAAGCAAAACATGCCAGACCAAATATATGCTTCAAAACTAGAAAACTACATGGTCACTATGAAAAATGGATCTAAATTGCATCAAAGTAAATGAAATCAAACTTGAAATTGCAAAAACAGTAAAAGATCTAAAGTAAAAACAGAATTGAAGTGCAAGTGATGTAAGGAATTATAAGATCTAAACTAAAGAAGTGAAAATCAAAAGTTGCTAACAAAGTTGAAAACTAAATGATCAACTAAAAATATGTATCTAATTGGTGTAAAATAGAATGAACATAAGCTGGAAATAACAAGAACACTTAAAGAACTATGAGAAAGACTGAATTAAAGAGTAATAATTGAAAAGAAATTGCAAGAATTAACAAAGAAAAGTGAAAAATTAAATTGAGTTGAAAACTGGAAACTACCTAGTCACTAAAAAAAAATTAAATCTAAAAGTTTCTAAGAAGAACGAACTGAATCTGAGCTAAAGCAAGCTAAATCAACAAGTTTACAACAAAAATCAACAAAGAAATCGCAGCAAACAATTGAATTACCAGCTCATTGAATTATAATTCCAACCTAATGCAAAAACTAGAAATTTAGAGCAGTTACAAAGAAAATCATCCAAACAACATGAAAAAACATAAATTTAAATGCAATTAAATGAGAATTAAAACAAACCACCAAATAATGAAAAGATAAAAAATGGTAACTTAATTAAGTACATATGATATCTTGATAATTAAATGAGACATTCTTTAATTAAAGAATGCATATTTGCACATAGTGTGATAATAAGATTTTAGTATAATTTTATAAGTAAATTATACAAACTAATAAGTTTATTACACTTACTAAAGTAAAATCATTAAAAAAAAAAAGTCTTTATATATCTTAAAATGACTTAAATAGATTGGTTTATTTATTGAGTTTATTTAACTATACTAAAAGTATAATTGTATTAAATATGTATAAAAATATGGATATAGAATGAATGAAATTTACAAGTATAGAGTTTTTGCCACAATCAATACCAATTTAAAAAAAAAAAAAAAAAATGAGACAACAATGTTAGAGTATATAAATGATATGCAAAATAAAAAGTTTAGACATGTTGCTTATAAAGTAATTATATTAAAGATTCAATCTCGAGTGAGGTTAATTAGCATAAAAAAAATTGAATTTCATGATATTTGGTTAGTAGTATTGTAAGTAAAATGGATTTAAACCCTTACTATTAGACATCAATAATGAGAACCTAAATTTGAATTAATAACCTCTAATTATAAAGTTTAATAGGTAAAAATAAGTTATTATCATGTGTTTATTAAACACTAATAAGATCCATTCAAAATTTAAAAACTAATGTGATTCATTGCATGGGAAAGATGAATTTTATATTTTTAATAGAGTTTTTAAATGTCTAATGCAACGGAGATATAATAGAAACTCCATCTATTTAAATATAGAAATGGTGTTCTTCAACAAGAAAAATTAGGATCTTTTTTATAAATATTTATAAATAGGATAAATACATTGCTATAATAATGTTAAAATGGTTATAAAACTCTTATAAAAGAATAAATAAGTATTATGTGTATTATATTTTCAATTTTAACACTAAAAGTTAAGGTTCAATCTGTGGACATTATAAACTTCTTTAGAATTTTAAACTATATATGCTTATTTGAAGGTTTAAATTAAAAGATACTTTATTGTATTCATAATATTTATTTGTGTTAAAGATTAAAGATTAAGCACTAACATTTCAAATTAGTAGAAATTGTTGATAGTTTACAATGTGGTGCATCCCATGTTAGATAAAAAAATTAAATTATTGATAAATAAATTTAATATTTATATTAATTTTATTCATATTTTAAATAATTATATTTAAACTAAAAATAATTATTATATGACAAATAGTCATAACTATTTAAATATAAATATATAGTTATAACTATTTAAATATAACTAGATGATTGTTCATATAAGTCATGATTACATTAATGGTTATAATCATTTGAATAAAAATTTATATTTGTTTGTTTATTATAAATAGATCTTTTAATATAACTATTTTTACAACTTTTATTTGAATAGTTTTAAGACTTATTATATCTTAAAGATATAATTATCTTTTAAAAAGTATTCTTTACGTGTCAAAACCAAATTTTTTATTATTTTATTTATTTTTTCTAACAATATGTAGTTTAGAAAATCTAATTTGATAAAAAAAAAAATCAAGAGGAGAAAAATGAGTTATTTTTAAGTGAAACTGACACAAGTGATGGCCCGCGACATAGCACTATGACCAACAGTCGAAATCTAGAGAGAATTAGAGTGAATGAGCGAAGTATTAAAAGAGAAAGAGACAGAAAAGATGAGAGGATTTTATTTTAGTTTTTATACTTACCCTATCCACCTATTTGGTCCGGTTGAAACTTTTATAAGAAGTACTGCTGTATTAGAGCTCTTTTAAAAGAATTGTAAAGAAAAATTAAAAAGAGTTTGGTAAACTTTATTAATAAATTAGTAAAAAATATTTGATAGTATTTTGTATATTTTTAATAGATAAAAAATAAAATAATTAAGTTTATTAAATTAAAACACATGTTTTTAGGTGAAAAATATATAAAATATAGAAATATTTTTATTAATTATAATAAAAACAAATAAATTTTGTGGAAAAATGAACCAAATAAAAATAATAATGTGAAATAATATAACCATTCTTATAATTTTATAAATTATTTAAAATTAAGATGAGAATGTAAAAATTTTCATTAAATACTTGTTATTAAAATTAGCACTTTTTTAAAAAAAATTTAATTTATATCTTCATCTCAAAATATTAAATCTATTTTTCATATAAGCAGCATTTTTAAAAATTTTGAAAGTCAAACACTTGACTCGACTTCTGTTTTTGCAATAGATAAATCCTTTATAAGCTGGGTCAAACACACATTAACCCTTCAAACAACAAATATAAGAAAAAAAAATTTGTTTACAATAAAAATTATAACCTTACAATTTTTAATTACATTCTTTCATCTCATTTTATTTGGTTTTTTTTTTTTTTATATGACATTTTTAATTGATTATTTTTTAATAAAAATTGACATTTAAAAAAATTTATATTTATAATTTTTTAATTAGATATAGAATAAAATAATGGTTTAAGAGTAATTTAAAAATTTTATAAAAAGGTTATTGCTTTTTATATTTTAAAATTATTTTTATATATTTTATTCTTAAAATTAAAATTGATAAAATTTTAATTTTATAAAAATAATTTAATATTTAATATTAAATACATTAAAATCTTTTTTTCTTTCAACTCGTTGAAAAATAGGAAGTCCCGATCGATATCGATGGCAATAAGGTATCATATGACCCTTCATCCCGTCGTCATCTTTTACAGATTAAAAAGGAGGGACTCTGGGTTTTTGCTTTTTAGATTCAGAAGTCAAACAAAATAGCAAAGAAGCCAAGTTTTTGATATATAAATCGATCAAATCAAAAACCAGGGTGGCTTTTGAGAAAAGGGATTTGGTGAGTATTCAAAATCAATGGCGAATCTGTATGTGAAAGCGGTGCCACCTGCGGATCTGAATCGGAACACGGAGTGGTTTATGTACCCTGGAGTATGGACAACCTATATTCTAATTCTCTTCTTCTCGTGGCTCCTTGTTCTCTCCATCTTCGGTTGCTCTCCTGGCATGGCTTGGACCATCGTCAATCTCTCTCACTTCGTTGTACGAATTCTTTTTTTAATTGTCTTGTTCTATTGAATGTTCATTTGGGTTTCTTTTTATGCTTGCAAATTACCCTATTTTCTTTTTTATTTTGGATTTTATTCTTGTTGAAATTGGCTTTGTATGGGTTGGTTTTGAGGGTTTTGTACGGATATGTTGTTGTTGCAATTTTCCTTTTTGTTCATTTGTGGTTTGTTGATTTATTTTTGTTTTAAGCTGTGATTACAATCATTTTTATCATTCTATGTCTTATTTCTCATAGAACAATTGTTTAAAGTTTGAGCTGTGCCTTGTTTTGCTGACCTGCTCTCCATTGAGAACTGAAATCATATCAATTGATGTAGTGTATGGGGATATTGGACGAGCATAAGATGGACCTTCCCATAGTTTTGCATGCACCGCGGCAGATCCATGATTTTTTTTCGGGGGTGTTCATTTATAGTATATATAAAAAACCTGCGATGAATTTACCAATTTTATCAATGAAAAGGGTGGTGGGGGGATTTTAGGGTGTCCGGAGGATTTTTTTTTTTCAAATTTTCTTGTTTTTCAATCTCCATTTGGATCCGCCCTTTTGCATGCATATATCTTTGACTTGGTTTGTGACATTTTATTTATAGATGGGGAACATGGAAATCAGGGGTTTTGGTCATTGAACAATGTCATAAGTTCTGAGAATTTGTTTCGAATTGAGATATTGGGTGGCATATATTCAAATGCTCATTTCCTAGGCATTTCCACGTCTGACATCAGAAATTAAGCTTTTGTTAACGCAAACTTTGTCCATGTTGAGCAGTTTGGCTGCTTGACTAAATATTTTTACCATACTAGTATTTTGGCACACACTTATTCATCCGTTTGAATTTGTTTGTGGCATGCTTTATCTTCTGGTTCATTTTCTATTCTATGTTCAGTTGTTAACTTATTAGAAAGTCAGCATCTTTGTAATCATATAAGGTTTTTCAACTAGTTGATTCTTGTGTTTAAAATATTCATGGTAGTTCAATCTAGCAGATCCTATGCTTCTTTCTCTTGTAAAAATAAGTCGATTTGCTATTGTACAAAAACCTTAAGCTTTCTCTAAGAAACTTTTGTTTTTCTGGTAATGCACTTATGTGTCATTCTTTCACTTTTTCTATTTTGTTTAACAACATGACTGATCTGCTTGAGAGCTATCTGAACCAATATAACGAGAGTGGTCTATTTTCAGGTCACATACCACTTCTTTCACTGGAAGAAAGGAACCCCATTTGCTGAAGATCAAGGGATTTACAATGGCTTGACTTGGTGGGAGCAGATAGACAATGGAAAGCAGCTTACACGCAACAGAAAGTTTCTAACTGTTGTACCTGTGGTGCTGTAAGTCTGCTTATATTATAGGTTACAACTTTTCCGTAACTTGCTGATGATCTTGTGCTATTGGTTTTTGCTGTGTATATGTAATTTATGTGTTTATGCTCCTGTTCATTCTCAAGCATTGAATGTTGATTATTCAGCTCTATTTTGTTTCCCATAACTGGAGTAACAAACTGACTGGAATACTAGGCATGCCGGCAACCAAAAATGAGTAAATACATAGGGATTGCAACCAATCAATACAACATTGTTTGTGTCGTAGTATTGCAACTGGATTTGAGCCAGATGGCTTTGTTATTATGATATTTGCATAAGGTCTCCTCTCATTGATCAAATGTGTATTCCTGTTGCCTAGCTGTAAACAAAGATCAAGTATGTTTATGTGTACTGTTAGTTATTTCCTCTTTTTCATTCTGCTAACATGTATTATTCCATTGGATTTCTAAAAAAAAGATTGTGTTTATAACATTCCTTGGCTCATCACTAACATGGTTATGTTAATAAAACATAAATGTTATGCATTCATGTCAACTGGATATTTTTAATATTTCAAGTTTCTGCGACCTTGACATCCATATATTAGCTTTAGACGCATATGTTAGTGCTAGTGCTAATTTTTTCATAATCATTTAGATCAACACTATTGTGATGCTGTATCTTGTATAAGACATCATCAAGGAAATTCTGCCTTATTTAAATGATTTATTAGTTTTTTTCTTGGAATTTACTTCAGTGCTCAAGATAAATTGGAACTAGGTCCAATGGTAAACAGAATGTCCAATGACTTGGGAAGTAATAGGTTTAAATCTCCCACCCTGTGTGTGTGAATAAATTGTTCAATATTGAAAAGACAAATAGAGAAGAGCCTCTATTCTGTGACCAGATTATAGTTTTGCTATGGGATTTGGGAGATTCTGTCTGCCAAGGATTGCAGGTTGTGTTCAACTTGGCGCAGACTGCAGAATCTTGTTATCTCTGAGAAGTCTGATTAATTGCCCTACAAACCTGATATCGACAATATTTTGATAAACAAAAGCAACAGCTTTTCATCCTTGATTCTCTTGCTGCTTTTATGAACCTCTGTGACATGAGTTCGCACATAATTTGTTGTCTTTCTTGTTTTACCAGAGAGAGTTTGCTGTTTTTAGTTACCATGTTTTTCTTTTTTTTTTTTTCCCTGACAGATACTTGATAGCCTCGCATACAACCGACTACCAACATCCTATGCTCTTTTTGAACACTCTTGCAGTGATCGTGCTCGTCATTGCCAAGTTCCCCAACATGCACAAGGTTCGAATCTTCGGAATCAATGCAGACAAGTGAGTGTGCCTTCTGTTAAGAATACTTGATTTTGCCTGCTAGAAAGCCACCATGGCTTCCCCTCTGTTAAAATGGGTATATCTTTTATAGGAGGACATTTTGAAGGTGTAATGGTTTTCCCTTTTTCTGCTTAGTAATGCTGAGTTTGCGGAATATCATTATGCTCTTATCAGCATTATCACATATCTTCATACTTTTATTTGTTGAAATTTCATATCTTTAAAACTCTTATGGGAGCTGATCAAACATACAAGATAGCCGGGTGTTAATTTGTAGACCTGACCATTCGTGTACTTGTTATCTATTTATTTTGTGTTTAACACGTGTAAAATATAAAAATTGACATGTTACATTTCATGTCAATATGTCAAACAAAAAATACATTTTTTTTGTTTAAACACGACACAAAAATTACTAGGTCTAATTATAATTCTCTTATATTTGTAATTTCATTTAAAAACATGGGTTAATATCATGAATACCCTCTAAGGTCTAAATTACAATAAAATATTTAATGTGGTACTTAAATTTTAAAAATATTTAATGTGATATCTAAATTATGAATCTGTTAATTAATATGATATTCATTCTTAACGTGATTAGTTTTAAATAATGACACATGGCGGACAAACTACCTTCTACGTATTAAATTAGTTAATAAAGTTGCAGTTATCATATTATAGATTTTTTAAAGTTTAGATATAAATTAAATATTTTATTATAATTTATGGTTCATTCATAATATTAACCCAAAAAATCATATGCAATCTATTATTTACTTTTTTGGATGTGGATTTTCGTTTGAGTTTTGATTAAAACTTTTTCATAGATGAGAAAATTCAATATATTTACATATAAAACTAAGTTGATTTTTTTTTTTTTTAATGTCTTGTTGTCTTTTATATATTGCTTGCTTAAACAGGAGAATTTTACACTGTCCAAGAGCCTTGACTTTTCTTGAATATGCTTTTAATAGAAGGTTAGGCTTTTGTTAGTGCCTTGGTGGAATTTAAATGCATTACCATAATGGGGGGAGTTGGAGTATGGTTGGAAATCATGGAAAACATTTGTCTGGTAATCAAATATGAAAACATTGGAATATTTATTGATATTCTACATTTTTTTTGTTAATCTTTTGGATAAAATTAAATATGATAATTTATATATTGGTATTTGTTTCGTGTTAAATACATATAAAATATAAAAATTATAATGTCACAATTTGTATTATTAACATATTAAACATTAAACATATTTTTTATTTTTTTTAAAATTCATATATAATTTTTATTGAAATTTTAACTCATTTTATTTTTATATGTGCATTATTTTATTGTGTTAACAGGGCTAATAAAAAGTTAGGTAACTCCCAACATGTTTTCCCTCGTAGCTTTAGTGTTAAATTTTTAATTTCAATGACAAGTGTTTCAATCCCTTCAATTCCAAACATAAAAAAGAGTTCATTTCAAGACAACCGAGAATGTACAAATATAGATCTTGCCGTGGTCATCCTCGCAAAAAAAGTCACTTCCAGTCAGCAAATTTGCCCATGCTTTGGTGTTCTTTTTTTTTTTTTTAATGCGGTCCGGAAGACAAGTTGCCGACAATTAATTGGCATTAATTTATGAGCATTGTGGTTGTTGATATTTTTTCCACGCTAATCGAACTTATTTTATTTTATAAACCAAAATTATTATTATTTTTAGATATTTTTAGTCTGAAGGTGTCTTTGAAAATAATAATTTATTCAAATGACGATCACATTTAAAAAATAATAATCTATGATAATTTTATCATTTTGTATCTGGCAATAATTTTCATATTTGCACATTATAACATTTAATCGAACAATACTTAAAATATACGATCCAACATTTTATCTTTTTACCTGATAATTAGTGTGCGAGCCGCGCGTTGGTATAATTTTTTACTGATCATTTTATTTCCATTTAGATAGAATCAGAGGTTTGTACATGCTGTGAATTTCTGATTTAATTTTATATATATTTACCAACAAATCTGATCACATATCAAAAACAAAACCCGAATTCTATTAACAAGAACGTATATTTAATTAAATTTCATGCGCCTTTTTCTTTTCACCTGCTGCACACTATATATTTATTTATTGAATCTAATTAGAACATAATAAATTATGAAAGTATGATCAATTTTTGTCAATTTGTTATGAATACGTTAGAGAAATTTGTTAAATCTATGTGATATGGTCACATGTGATTCAATTATAGCACGGATTAAAGAAAAAAAAAAGCCAATGAGGCTTCCGTTTAGTGATAAGGAAGTTTTAAAATCTTAAAATTTCAAATTTAAGTCGAGTTTGATTATTTAATTAAATTATAATTTATTAATTGATTATTTTATTTATTATTATTTAATAATGTAACAACTGATTATATAAATGTAATATTTGATTACAAGTGAAATTTAAAAAAAAAAAAACTAATGTAGATTTGTCAGTGATGGTGGACTCATATATTTATAGGTCAAAACCTCCTTCAATTCTGGCTTCAATAGCTGCCTTAAATCTAAGTTTTTTTTTTTTTTTTTGCCAGGAAATCTAAGTTTAATCAAACCTTTAATTACTAATTCCATTAATTAATTTCCATTTCAACAATTTATGATATACAGTATCCTATTCATTGGTGGGAAAATTTTAGATGAAATTTCTTAGGTGATGAAGTTTGAAAAGTTGTCTATTGAAAAAAATTAAATAAAAATTCAAATTAAGAGATTAAAAAATCTTGTTAAATAAATCAAGTATATTAAATTTAATAAAATTTAATTTATTTTTATATAAATATTTTTACTAAAAAATTTTATTAAATTTTATAAAATTAAAATTATAAATGACATTTTTAATATTTTTTTATAAATCTTTTCATTAAGTTTTATTAATTTAGCAATTTAAATTTTTTATTAACGTTTTCATTACAATATTTTAATAAAAAAATTTTACAAATTTCATCTAAAGAATTTTATATAATTCTTACTCTCCATTGCTCCAACGAAGGAAAGATACAACAAAGTAGTATAGTGTATAATAAAACAAAATTAAACACAAAAGGAAAGAAGAGTAGCAATAATTTATATATAAAAATAATAAAAAAACTAATGTGATATAATCAACTTCATTAATTGGCCAAAAGAAATCAACTTCATTAATTAGATTAATATGGACCTTAAACTGACTATCATATGTTTCCATTGATATGACGGCCATGAAGATATTTATACGTTCTTAGTTTATATTCCACATAAAGCTTAGACTTGGTCAATAAATTTGAGAAATGTATATAATAATATTATTATATATGAGATATTTTTATACATTTTTTTATTTTAATAATCAAAATTAAAAAACTAGCACATATTTTATTTTTATTTTTTTTTTAATTTTTATCATTACTTTACTAATCTTGATAGTTTATATTTATCAATTTGTGTATTTGTAATGTATTTATTTTTTGTCAAATTATATGTAACACAAAAAAATTATCATATTATAATTTATATTAACATAAAAAATAAAAAATATTTTTAATTTTTATTAAATTTATATACAAATTTTATTAATTTTAAATCATATTATTTTTATTTTTATATTATTTTTTATCATGCCTACATGGACAGATGGTCATTATAAAGAACTTGGCCCCAAAAAATTTAAGAAACTCGTAAGTTATATTTTTACATGAAGTTGTAAAACAATTATATTTAACAACTTATTATTTTATACTAATTTTATAACTTCACGTAAAATTTTATACCTTTTTTTATAACTTTATGTAGGATTAATATTTTTTTCAAATGAATCATTGTATTTAACAATTTATTCATATTCGTCATGTATATAAAATTTTAATATTTTATAATTTTTATTTTTATATATGATAAAATTCATAAAATAAATTTATAAAAAAAATAAAATATAACATTATTTGGTCCTCTTAAAGTCAAATCTCAAAATTCGTCGATGCTTGCCGTGTTCAAAAATTTTAAATCTTCTAATAATAAAATTTAGAAACTTTATTATCAATGATGTGATAATTTATATTTATATGTATTAAAAAAGTAAAAGGAAAGATAATGCAAGGGAAGCTAGAAAAAGAAGATGAGTATAGTTTGGTAAAAACTAGGGATGAGGAGTGAGAAGGGCAGATGGGGGAGAAGGGCCGTTGGGTTACGTGTGAAATATTCTGCCATAAAAAATATATATATTTAAATTTGGTCACGTGATTTGTGAATTGTACAGCGTACAACCTTTCATTTACGATCCAAGCTAAGCTAAAAATAAATATTGAATTGATTGATAAAATTATTTATTAAAAAAAATTTTAATTATGATTTTGTTAAAAGTAAAAATAAAAAATATATATCCTTTAATGGTTTATTTAAAGAGTTTGTTTTTATATATTTTTAGTACGGTGCATGGTGTATATTTAATATATTATTAGTATATAAAATTTAATATATTACATATCATCTTCTCATTAATTTATAAATTTAAAAAATTTGAAATCCTTAAAAGATAAATTGGGAAAAGAAAATTCAATAATTACTTCAATTTATTTAATTAAATAATTTTAATTTTTTAAATATTTTAAAATTTTAAATTTAGTAATTAATGATGTATCTCCATATTATATATTCACAATGTATCAAATTTATACATGTAAATCAAATATAAACCTTTATTAATATATCTATTTTAATTTCATAAGTAAAGTTAAAGAAATTAATATAATTTTATTTGTAATTAATTTTTAAAATTTTTTAATATATCATAAAAAACGTGTCGTTTTACTAATTGAATTTCTAAAATCTCACTAAATGAAATAAATTCTCTTATTTAAAAGGAGAACGCAAAGCTTTCGGCTACTCGTGCTCCTAAGAGCATCAGTCTTTTGAACTAAATATCCTCTTCTCTGTCTTTCTTGTTCTCTGTCTCTCTCATTTGTTAATTTCATTTTTGATAAGAATTTAAGAGAGAAAGAGAAACAGAGATTGTGAGTTGAGTTGAGTTGTTTGAGTAGCTAGGCGATAGCTAAAACGAAGAATAAAAAAACAGAGATGGGAAGGGCTCCTTGTTGTTCAAAGGTTGGGTTGCATAGAGGGCCATGGACACCTAGAGAAGACACATTGCTTGTCAAATACATTCAAGCTCATGGTGAAGGTCATTGGAGATCACTTCCAAAGAAAGCTGGTAATTGAATTCAACATTGTTTTAGTTTAAAATTATTAAAATTTAAATCTGACTACTGAAATTAAGAGTTCAATTCTCTGTGAACACATCGGACGACACGGTTGTTATTTTTTTCACGAGTGATTTCTTTTTGTGGGGTTTGTGAATTTGTCATGTAATTTGATTTTTAAGTGGTGAATTTGCAGGGCTGCTTCGGTGTGGAAAGAGTTGCAGGCTGCGATGGATGAACTATCTAAGACCAGATATCAAGAGAGGGAACATAACACTCGATGAGGAAGATCTTATCATCAGATTACATTCACTTCTCGGCAACCGGTGGTCTCTCATTGCCGGGAGGCTTCCTGGTCGAACCGATAACGAGATAAAAAATTACTGGAACACCCATCTCAGCAAACGACTTCTAAGCCAAGGAACTGACCCTAATACTCATAAGAGACTATCACAGCCAGTGGTTCAACAAGTGAAGAAGAGGAAAAAGATTAGAGGTAGCAGTAATTACAAGAAGCAGAACAAGAACAAGAGCAAAGAAAAATCAACAGTTGAGCCTGCAGAAAAGCCCAAAGTCCATCTACCAAAACCCATTAGGGTTTCCACAACTTTCTCTTTACCAAGAAATGACAGCTTTGACCAATGCAATACGTTCAGCACAGTGTCTTCAAGCCCAGTTTGGTCAGAATATGTCAATGATGATGCAAATGGGACAGGCTTTCTTGCTGCTTATAACAATGGTGATCATAATGATTTTGTTAATGGCTCAGGTTTTGACTGCAGGTCCCATGTCCCCACAAGTGAAGATGACAATTCTCTAGAAAAGCTTTACGAAGAGTATCTGCAGCTTCTAAATACAAACAATGACCAAGAGCAGTTGGATTCTTTTGCTGAATCATTATTGATCCGCTAGCAAAAATAACAAAATAGAAGTCGTATGTTCATTGTTATGTGTGCATGTCACATGGTCTAATGTTAATTTTCTCCCAATAAAGTTGGTTGAAGTTGAATCTTAGCTTTCACGTGCTTACCTTCTAGCAACATGTACTTCTGTATATGGTAGTTGATTTTACATATATTGTGTAATTATGTGCGGTGGACGTTAATGAATGATACAAAGGATTTTGTAGTACGAAAATAAAAAAAGATTCAAAGGTGATTCGATTCTAATAAATTCAAATTTTATTGAATATAAATTCTTAAAAATTATTATATAAATTAATTATACGTTAACGAAAATATTAAATTGGACTCGAATTCCGACATCATCATTCAATTGTCACTTTCCAAAATCTTGGGGGGGGGGGTCTGCCCTTCCTCATCCCTAACAACCTATTGAATTGATTTCTAGTTAAATTTTATAATTACATTAATATTATAAGTTATATATTATTAATAATTTATTGTGAGGAAAAATAAACGGTGATTAATTTTTTTTTAGGAACATATGGAGGACATAATCTAAATTTTGTCCTTTTTTTAGAGAGTCATGATATGAAAATAAAAAATATATATATAACATTTAGAATTTAAATTTTAAATTTGTTGATGTTATTTTTTAAAAATAATTGTATAAATTAATTAAATTAAATTTTTTTTTTCAATTATGCTGATTTGTTGCAATATTAGCAGAGTATCTTGATCTATACAGTCCAATATTTCATTTAATTTTCAGATACATTAATTATGGTTGCTTCCCTATCTTATTAAACCATTTTGGACATCATTTTCAGTAACGTTGTAGGGTGAATCTTAAATGCGAAGCTAATGGTCACAACTCAACAAGTCTTCCACAACTTAGGCAAGGGAGAGAAATATCAGAAGCGAACCGGTCAAAAGTAACGTGGACAATACAGTACTGATGTACTGTATATGGAAGTGACTTGCTTATTAGTCCATCATTTCCAGTTATTTATATTTTTATTCATGAAATATCTCGATTCTTAAGTGTTAAGAATTCAAGATTCAACTCAATTGAGTTATATAAACATAAAATAACATTCAATAAATTTAAATTTAAATATCAAATTTTATATTTTTTTATTGCGAAATTAGAATTTTTTTTATATAAAAAATGTAATAGTAGTATTAATTTAGTCTAAAAAAAGTTTTTTTTTTTTTTTGCATATTTTCTTACATGCATTTGTTGCAAATGAATCATTTAAACTTCCTCCTAAATAAAAAAAAAATTTGTAGTTATTATCAATAGTACTTACTAATTTATGCACATATGCAAACACATATAGATTTAAATTTAAATATGATATTTTTAAAATTTGAAATTAGACCATTTCAACAAAAAAAAAATCATTGGCAAAGTTAGGATTTATGTATGGCACATGACCAAAGGGATACATTCATTTTTTCATAATATGTTTATTCCATTTAAATCTTTCACTCAAAAGTAAACACATATTTTTTTTAATTAAATAATTAGGTTCGAATTTCCCATACTAATAGGTTAAAGAAGCATTTGCATACTAAAAATAAGAATATAATAATTTCTTTAAATCTTAAACTCATAAAAAAAAAAGCATGAAAATTAATTAATTAACTTTTATTACTAGAATAATCAGACAGCTACCATGCACGTTCTCTTTGTCTTACTAAGTTTTTATGTACTAAAATGAATTATTCATTTTCCGAAAGTAAAAGGAAAATGGATAACATTTCTCTTTTTCTTTTGCAGAAACTCAAAAAGTTGAAGTTTAATTTTGCAAAAAAAAAAAAGAAAAACTCTAAGAAGAAATTTTAATAGTGAAAGCAACCATTCCAACTAAAAAATAAGGTTGTAAAGTTCTTATATGATTTATAAATAGAAATTTCCAATTAATTCATACAATTAATTTCTTGATTGGCAGCTTGTTGTCTTGAAAATATTAAAACAAAACCTAAAAATAAATGGAGTAAATTCCTGGTGAACCACCAAAAATTAAACAAAGGCCTGGATAAAACAAATAATATGAATTCCAGAAATTGCAATGCTATGGAGATGAATTAAGGAAATGATGAGTATCCAACAATACGAAGATTCTGTCCTTGATATGAATACTTGAAAGAAATTAATAAGTTCAATTGGATTCATGGTGGCAGGCACATTCATGTTGGGATCATATTAGTACATATAACCACACAAAAAAAACTCATTTTCGACTTTGAATCTTCAAAGCTTTTATGATATTATTTTACATATTATTTCACATCGATATTACTTTAAAAAATGAAATTGTAAAAATCAGATTCCTTCGATTTTATTCGATCGTGTATACGAAAGAAACTCATTATTTTTATACAATTTCGCACTCAAAAAATTCAGATCTCACTTCTAAGAAAAGGAAAAGAAAAAACATTCCCGTGAAGAGAAAAATAAAAGTCCAAATTTCTCTTCTTTCTTATAGGTAACATTAATGCCTAGAACATGTTAAATGACAAAATCTTTTGAAAATTAATCCCCATATATTTGTCTGAAATGAGAACAAACAAAAAAAGGGTGACATCAATATGAAAGGTTTGTTTAGAGAATAGATTGATTCTCAACTTATTATTTTTTATAAAAAAAAATTACAAATATTGAAATTTGAAAATATTAAATTTATTACATGAATCAATTAAATTAATTTTTCGATTTGATTTATTATTGAAGTGAGGAACATCAGTAAAAAACGAAAAAACTTAAAACTTTGTTTTCATATGCATTGGCTTAGACTTTTGAAGTTAGATGAGCTCGTGACCAACTTCTATTCCAAAATTGGTAGATGCACAATTTACTTTGACAATATGGCGAAGAACAATGGTTATAAAAAAAAAAATGGATGATTGATAATTATTGTGATGTCGACACTTTTTACTTTCAATATATCATAAAAATTTTCCTAAGTCACCAGCTGATTAATCAAACAAATTATGTTCCTAACTTACTACATTGTGCAAGGGTCAAATGATATATTGGAGTCATGAATATTTTTAAAAATTAAAAAATTAAAAAAAAAATTGAAGATAATTTTTTTTAATTTATTAATATTTTTTATATATATTATAAGTGAATTTCTAAAAAAAATTATTGAATTCTTCATTCATTGAATTGGACGGGTACCTTAAATTCTTCGAATCAAACAAGGGAAATTACGACTGAATGGCATGTCATGAACCTTGAATTGTGGTCCAAATTTAATAGTTTAATATATGGAATTGCAGAGTCCACGTCACTCGACATCTTTGTAGAATGTAGTGGTTAGCTATGACATGATTTCAGGATTAATTATTCCGATCTCCATGCCTGAAAATCAAACCATACCTAAAAATTTTAACTTTAAAATGCTTTCAGTTAGGGAGCAGTTATCTTAAAGTGACATATAAATTCAATGTCGAAATGGAATTTAATTGGTTAATATAATTATTTTTAAAAATTAATATTTAATAATTTTAAATTTTAATATTTATAATATTTTTTTATTTAGATTTGATAGTTTATATATTTTTATAATGTTTGTATTATATTAAATATATATAAAATATAAAAAATTATTATATTAATTCATATTGACATCCCAAATGCAAAACATCTTTTTTTTTTTTTTTTTGTTTTCATCCAATTGATATGCAATTTTTTAATAAAATTTTAAATCATAATTTTTGTATCTTCTTTTATATTGTTTTTATTACCTCACTATACCATATTTAAATTGATCATATCTACATTTATCCTCGAGTTGTAACCTTTTTGTACAAAAAATAATAATATAAATTTTAAATTTAATTCAATTAATTTATATAATTATTATTAAAATATGATATGCAATAAATTAAAATTTTAAATTTCAATATCAATAAATCTTTTTTCATATATTTAGATTTTAAGACCTCTTATATATATTAAAAAACAATAACATGTATAGCTGGACATTGCATCCAAATTTTCTATTGCAGAATTGCAGTTTCTTTGTAGCTTAATTCGTAAGTATTGGGCTGCTAGGTTTGAAAAGCACATGAAATAGCACAATGATGTAAGGTGACCAATAAGTTTTCTAAAATAATTGATGATTTGAGTCAATTATTGTTATAATTTACACAGAATTGTTAATCCACGGACGATTTCGATCATGATTGGTAGACAAATCTTAATCAATTGCCAAGTTGCCTTTGTTTTTTTTCATGGTAATCATGCTGTTTATTGCAATTCAAGGGCTCCCACTGGTTCGTTTTAGCTAGGATAATACAAAGATAATGACTAGTCAAACTCTTGCCTTTTCTTATATGGGGTTTCATTTTCCTAACTCATCCTGCAGGAAGAGAGATGGACTTATGAATGCCACGTTCAAAGTCCTATAATTCTCACTTAATAAACAATTTATGATTTGATGTAATTTCAGATTTGATAATTGAAGAATTTGTTAGATATTGAATTGAAAAATATATCAAATTTATCGTAAAAAAAAAAATTTAAGATGTCATAGATAATATTATAGAGCACGTTCTGATATTCAAATCAATCAAATACATAAGGAAAAGGAAAAAAACAAAGGAGAGAAGAAAATAATGAGAGAGGAAACAAGGAAGATGTAAAGTAAAAAAACTAATGTATGCTTGATTTTATTTTAAGTTATGCTTTATTTTATTTTTATATATTTTATGGATAATGATGGGATTAGTCAAATATGTATGTCTATCTTTAAGCCATTTTTCCATTAAAGATGTGATAGCCAAAACGTTACTTAGCCATTAAGCTATAACAGTATGAATTGAAAATCACATCATATATCTTCAATATTCTATGTTAAAAAATTTAAGAAAACAATAAAGAAAAATATATGGTTTTGAGGCGCGAAGAACATTGTTTTAAAGATAATTATGCTTATAGAATATAATAAAATTTAAAAAACTCTCAAAAACAATGAAATTAGTCAGACAAAAAATCATCTATAATAAATGAGTAGTTACCAATTAAATCAATTTAAAAAGTCATGACATTTTGTATAGTCATTTTTTTTGTTTAAATAAATTTTATTTAAACAGTCATATTTTTCTGTTCAGATATATTTATTTAAAATTAATAATATTTTAAAATTAATTAATTAATTAATTTAAAATTTTAAAAATTAAATCTATTTATCAAATAAACCTAAGTGCCCCAA